CCGTGTTCACCTCCTGGAAGGACAGGCGGTTTGGGGGTGGAACAGGTCCTCCCTTCCGGGCTGGTTATTCCTTCTCTCTCTTTCTCGATGTCGATACTCTGTTCTCGGGTGTGCAGAATTCTTCCTCCACTCGGGCATATTTGTTGATCCGGGTCATCAAGTCTTTCATGTCCGTTGGAGCCTTCTTGGTTAGTGACTTGTACAAATCTGTGCCCCCGGGCCAGCCCCAGCCTAAATGATGCTGCGGCTAGTGCCTCCGAACACACCTCCACTTCGTTGACCTCCTCCCAATACCGGATGGCATACTGTCGAAGGGACTCCCCTCCTTTCCGCCTAAGCGTCAATAGAGCGTTGATGTCCTTCGGTTTCTTACTGCTGGTAATGAATCGAGCTATAAAGGGCTCCATCAATTGTCTCCAGGATCTGACGCTTTCAAGAGCTAAATTCTCATACCATCGCATGTCTATGTCCCTCAGGCTCATGAGAAAAAATCGGCACAACACCCGCTGATCAATATCGTAGATGGACATCAACTGTTTGTACTGCCGTAAGTGACTCTCGAGATCGGTCCTCCCATCATAGATTTTGAATCATGGGACGGTGAACTTCTTAGACATCTCGGCCTCCCTGATAGCCTGAATGAATGGTGAAATAACTTCGTTAGCATCACCCTTGGGTTTAGGCTTGTGGTGTGCGGTGAAGCGCTTCTAGGGGCCCCCTTGAAGCCTTTCTTCTCTAGGCCCCCTGGGTGTGGACTCTGCTTGTGACTCGGTGGCCCTGATGTCCTCGGGTATCCCACGGTGGAGGTCCTATCGGGAAAGACTCACTCCTTGGCCCGATTCTGATTTTCCCTTAGGGACCGACCACCCAGTTTGACGATCACGTTCCTCGGGAGAATGCCTAAGCCAGGCTTTCTTGGAGGATTTTTGCCTGGGATACCCAGAGAGGTTTTGACTGAGGCCCTGGTCCTCGTGTCCGCGACCCCACCCACTCACACTCGCTGATTGCTCAAAATCATCAAGCCTTCGCCGGACCTTGGCGTTTTTGTTTTCAAGTTTCCTAATCCGTTTGCCCATTCGCTTCTCCATCATCTCGACGATATCATGAGCTAAGAGGTCATGACCCCCCGGGACTTGATCTATAGGGAGAGTTCGTTGTGAGGAATGTTCTCCTCCCCCTGACTGGGTCAAAGGACCCGGTTCTAAGACCATTGGAAGCTGGACAGCCTCTGCGTTCCTTACACGCACGCTTCATCCTCTTTCACCATGAGATCGAGTGTTCACCATTAGACGATCGCTACGGAAAAAGATGATCGAATTCCCACAGACGGCGCCACGTTGCACGAGATAATTCCTGCAATAGTTTGAGATAGCGATTGCCAACCTGATGAACCTGAAACAATCATAGGGTCAGAAAAAATAAGTCAGGTAAACACCCGACTTATCCCCTCCAAAGCTTAAGTCAGTCTCAAGATTTCAGGTTCAAGCTCAATGAGTAATCTTTTTCTGATTCAATTTTGTGTACTTTTGTTCATTTTTCTGAGGAGTATTTATACCTGAATTAGCAATGATTGTCAAAGACCTCCAGTCCCATCTGGACATTTAATATCTGACATGCCACTCCTCGCGCAATGAGTGTTCTCCACTTACGTCTTCTCCTACTCTGCTAGGATGATGGGATGAGTGTTCGGTGCCATGCCGAGCATTTATTCCCTCCCTCAAGTATCCACATCCTTCAGATTGGCATCTGACACCCGCAATTGAGCATTGAATACTCGAGAAAACAGTTCTTCGGGGAGAGCCGACCATATATACTCGGCGTAGTAACCATTAAAGCCTAGCCATCATAATGATAGGCCTAGGTTCTCAGAGAACAGGTGCTCACATGTGCACATTTAATATCCTTGTCAACATCACTCATTCTGCAATAAATAAGGGGTCACATCGTATTAAATATGGTACTAGTTGTCGTACTCGGCTCCTCTAGGTCACTATACCTCGGCTTATTTTTTCGGCGCCTTTTGGACATCACAACGGCTTCATTATTCCACATGTCAGTTTGGGGGCTGTAGAGCCATCTAGAGTCCCGCCAGTACCAGAGAGAGAAGTGAAAAGAAAAAAAGTTTGAGAGATAAATGAAGTGAAAGGTTTTAAGTAAGGAGTGGGGAGTTTGGCAGACAGGGAAGGAATAAACTCGTAAGGGTTTTGAATATGATGAAAAAGAACGTCAAAAAATATGCCGTCTCTTTTTTTTTTTTTTTTTTTTNTTTTGAATATGATGAAAAAGAACGTCAAAAAATATGCCGTCTCTTTTTTTTTTTTTTTATGCCTTCCCATTAAACAACACAGTTTCTAACTGTAGACAAGCCAGAGACAAGCGCAACACAGCCCAAAAATCACGCAAACACAATCGTGCCACCACCAGTGTGCCACCATTTTTACTCGTTTCTGTTTAGCAGTATAGTTATGATAAAACTACTTACAATATAACATACAAATGTACAAGTTTTGGGTTATAAAAATTTACCTCATTATTGATCTTCCGATCCTTAAAACTAGTGTTACATTTGTTGATACTCTTTCCATTTGAGTCCGCCGGCCAGAGACCATGCAAAGTGAAGTTCCGAGGGAATGACGGTATACAAGTTATCGATGAGTTCATGCAAAAGGTAGGGGTCCAAGTTTTCACAAACAAAAAAATATCATATACTTTAGGTGGCGGTATAAGGAGAATGATAAAAGATAAAATGTAAACAAAAAACTTCATTATTTTCTGAAAACAGTGAAAAAAAATGAAAGGAAGAAGATTAGATTACATTGATATTTATATTTTATACGAGAGTCTCTTTGTCTATACGACTAAGGGATAACCCTCCACCGAGTCAGAACATAGTGCATAACTTACCCACGAAGGTATACTACCACTAGGTGAAGAAAGGCCGACTCTTGTCTCTGCCTCTGCTCACAAAATGAAACATGGTGGGGGCACAGAGGCCAAAAGCATATATAGTGGCCTTCCACCACAGATATCCAACTTAAAAGTGGACTTTAGAGAATTTCTGAGTCTTCATTTTTTCCTTTTTCCTTTTTCCTTTTTCTTTTTTCCTTTTCCTTTTTTATTTTCCAACCTAGGATAAGATAGTCCAAGTCAGGCTTCCAAAGTTACCAAAAGTTAGAGCTGTCAATTTACAAAAAGAACCTTGCTTGTGTTTATATTTAATGTTTTGCCATTCTGGTTTGCATAGAACATAACTCATTAAGAAAACCAAACAAGAATTAAGAAGGGTTAAACTACTTTAGGTCTCTAATGTATGTATTTTTTATTAGTTTAGTTTTTATTACATTAATTTTATCAATTTGATTCTTAAAGTGATCAATATGTGTCACTTTAGTCTCTAATCAGATAGTCAGTCAAGTTTTTTGATGAAAGTGATCACGTGTCATTTTTTTAGACGTTATCACATAGCTAACTCGTGATCATTCCGTCAAAAATTTAATGGTCTGTCTATATAAGGACCGAACTATCAAGAATTGAATATTTTAGGGACAAAATTGATACAATGACTAAATTGACAAAAAATGCATATTTTAATAATCAAAAGTGCTACCAGCCCAATTAAAAAAATTACAATGACGATATAAGTTTATAATTTAGGTTACAAAACTATATATAAGCTTTACATTATGGTCCCAAGAGTTAACAACCAAAATGGAAATTATAAAGAAGGAAAATTATATACTTGATCATATAGACAAACCGAAGTGACTATTGGTTCATGAAGGGTTGGGTTGAATCAAAAAATTAATCATGACAAAATTGGGATAGCCCAAATGTGCACAATGAACTAATCATGTAAGAATTTCTGATCCTAACAAGACTTGTTTATCACACATGTAACGAGATACGACTCATGGATTACCCAACTCATGTAACATGTTTAAAAAATAAGCCATGTTAGGTTAGATAGGAATCTTGGGTAAAAAAAATTGATATGGATTACGTTTGTACTAAAAAAAAAATAAGGGTTCTATACATTATATTGTTGTTGTCGTGATGTTCAAATTGAACACTGTCATATAATAATTGTATTAATCCAATACACCACTTAATGAATTAATTGTGGTAAAATCTTTAATTCAAATCTACTAACTTCGGATTGTGTGTTAATGTGTCGATTTGAAAATAACTACCCCTCGTGCAATCCCACTAATAATCAAAGAAATTTTGGTTCAATTTCTTTATTTTTTTGATCAGATGGTTCAATTTCTTTACTAGTCCTTATTTCATGACATTAGCATGCCCTTTCTTTAGTCTATTTTTCTGATAGGATTGAGGAATTTCTCATTTCCTATTTTCTCATTTTGCTAAGAAATGATTGATGGTTATCAATGGACCTTTGGTCTAATGATACCTTTTGTTTTATGAAAAATTTGTCTTCTTAAAATCAAAGGTTTAAGTTCCCTGGGCGACAAAAGCGTAGTTGATTGATAGGACGGATTTCAGTTACTTGGATGAACCGTATNGAAAAATTTGTCTTCTTAAAATCAAAGGTTTAAGTTCCCTGGGCGACAAAAGCGTAGTTGATTGATAGGACGGATTTCAGTTACTTGGATGAACCGTATTCAAATCTCTTGTGCGGGTTCGAATGCCCACTGAAATGCAAGTCCTGATTTAAATGATATATGAGTTGAGAAACCAGTTCATAGACCTGAAGTTTGCCCCTCGATTCTATCCAGACTCACGAGTCTAAGTGAATGACTTAAACACGCCTCTACTCGCGAGAAAAAACCAAAATTTTCCCCTCTTTACCTAAAAGAAATGAATGATGGTTAGGGAATGGCATTCCAATAAATTTGGAGGTTCAATATGGACATTTTGGACCACCCAAGTGGAGGAAAGAAAGTATATAACAATTGAAAAGCAAGAAAAGAAAAAGAATGAGGCATGACCAAGCTTGAGTAATAAAAACCATCCATTTCCCACAATTCTGCTTGCAAAAGCTTCACAGAAGAATCCCACCTCTCCCTCTTACTCTTGTTAGCCCAAAAACCTATGAATAATACTCATTAATTTGCAGTTAAATGTTCAGCTTCAACTTGGCAAAGAAGCTCCTGCCTGCTAAGATGGCATGGAAGAGCTTCACCAACACACTCCATTTGAAACTAAACGAGGGCAAGATCTCCCAAGCCATCACAAAAACAAGAAGGCAAGTTGTTGCTTCGCTTCCCATCGGCGACCACCCTCTTCTTCCCCGGAAACTACGTGCCCTGACCCATCTTTTTTCCACTTGCCGCCACCATATTCATGACCACCACCACCACCACCACCAAATTCAAAATAGTTGTGATGCCATATTTGTGGATGACCTCTTTCCCCATCCCCCTTCCTGGCAAGCCAGCAAGGCCAATGTGATGGCTGCATCAAGTGGTAGTGGCAATATGCCATCAAGGGGTAGTGGCAACGGCAATATGCCATCAAGGGGTAGTGGCAATATGGCCAATGCTAAGGTTGTGTGTGTGGTAGCATTGTTTGAAATTACTTTTATTTTTTTAGGGTTAATTAAAATTTGCTCGCTTCAACTATCTCTTTTGTTGGAATCAGCTACTCATGATTTCAAATCTTACATTTGCCCCCTCCCAAGTTTTAATTTGTTCAACCCAACACAAACACACTACACAGCACCATGTTCATCTTTCACCTTTGCCTCCTCCTCCACCCAATACCAACACATGCACATGCAGAGACAAACAATCTTTTTCAGAGATAATTATGTCTTTTTAACAAAATAGAAATTACGTGAATTTTTCATGTCTAACTTACGTCACTTTTTATAATTTAAAAGTTGTTGGAATTAATTGCAAAATATTCAAACTTAAGGATGATATTTGTTGAAATTGAAACCTGAAGAGGTGAATGAAAAAACTATCCAAAGTTGAAGGGAATATTTAGTCATTAATCCTTTTTTTTTAAGCTTAAATTTATTTTTGCATTTTGCACTTTTTTGAATTTTTCTTGTCGGGACTTACTCCATTCTTTTAACCTTTAAGCACGATTATTTGTATCGTTTATGAACTGAAATACATCACTTTTTTTTTTGACAACATTACATTAAAAAATGTGTCACCAAACGTTTGTTTAAAACTACAATTGCAATCAATGTATGAATTGCAGGCACAAGAAGTTGCTAAACCGGGTGTCAAGGTGTTTGATGTTGAAAAGGCTTCGCCAAGCAACAGAAACTCAGTTGAAACTAATACAAGTGATGATCATGTTGCTGAGGAATGGGAGGTCACTTCGCTACCACAAACTCGAGGAATCGACGGGAGAGCCGAGGAATTCATTTCTAATTTCTACCGAGAGTTGAAACTGGAGAGGGAACTTGAGAGGGTGCAATATATGCTTGATTTTGAGGATATGTTGGCACGCGGTGCTTAGCAATTCTAAGTTTTGTGGTTTGTTTATGCAATATTTTTCTCATGTGTTTCACCGTATTATCGCTCTGCCAAAGAATCGTTATGTCTAGCTCGCGTCTTGCTCTTTATCCCATGTTGCATTTTCATGACTTCAATACCAAGAATTCATCACTTTTCTTAAGAGCTATCATTGGTATTGATGGTGGTAAAAAATCGAGAGGCATGAGGTGGAGAACCGGATGAGCTCTTGGTGGATGTGTCATGTGTGTGTAAAAATGAATGAGATCAATACACCAAAAAATAAGTGGTTCACCAGCTGAAAAGCTTGGTTAATCCACTGTAATGAAGCTCTTGCTCCTTAATTGTATATTTCTTTCTTGGAGAAGAAGAGTACAATAGTTTTTTTCCTTACTTGAGACCCATTTTTTACATAGTGATCATTGCCTTTTATAACATAATATTTAGAGAATATTTAGTGTGACTTATGTCCAAGGTATGGGTTAATGGTGGAAACTTTTTTCTGCCCCATCTGGTAGTTTCTTTATTGCTTGTTGCCTCCTTGTATATTTTTCGATATCATCAAGTACTAATAAACTACACTACTTCTTCGAGAGTTTACTCAAGATCGTCAGCTATCGATTCTGATACTATTTATTGGGAGATTAGGAGCCCATTGATCCAAGAACCAATGTCTAAAACTCTCACCAATGTATAATCGATAGCGCAACAACAAAAAATTCACTATTGATTATACAAAGCTATCTAACCAACAGAACGGATCCAAAATGGAATTTGAAAGAGAAAAAGTGGTCTACATTCTATTTATTAATACCTAAATGCCCAGATTCTTAATAGAGAATTTGTTTTTCAAACTCCTAAAGAAAAACATGTGTCCATTCCACCAAATAAAAAATTTAATTATATAAAATCTATCAAAATTAACTTTCATATAATTACAATAAAAAATAATTTAGGTCACAAAATCCATAAAAATCGGTTCTTATCATTATAGAAATAAGTTTGTCGTAGCAGCATGATCCTTTTATTCTCTCATGAGGATATGATATAATAATTTGAAATAAATTATCATCACAAATAATAATTTCTCGTGATATGATAGTGTGAGCCGTTATATTTAAAATCTGATTTTGTAAAAAAAATATACTTTTAAAATTATTTTTAGTCATCAAACTTATCCAATCAAATATATCCAGTTCTAAAAACAATAATCATTCATAGATTGCATCTCTCATTTGAGTATTAAATATCAATTCATTAGTTTCTTAAATACAATACACGAATTATCTATATATATAAAGTTTTTTGGAATTTAAGGGAAAACATATAGTTTGTAAAACAAATGGGGTTATATAGGGACTTTTGAAAAAGTGAGGGGAGGCCATGGCTACCATGCCCTTCTTGGGTCCATCTATCTAGGGGCGGAGCCACCTTGGGACAAGGGTGGGCACTGCCCATCCTTGACTTCTCAAAAATCCCTTTATCTCGTAGTAGTTTGGGATCATGATTTTGTTCATTTCAAGAATTTGCCCCTATAATTTTTTAAAACTTTGTATAGTTGTAATAAACTTTTTATTTTTAGTTAGTTTGTAATCCATTAACCCTTTAAAATTAATTTTTATATTTGGATGGACTAAAACATATGTAAAATATTATAGTGACCATTACAACTTTTCTATGTGATGAATTATATTGTACAAGTGCTCTCAATTATTTTTCTGTAAATTAGTAACCCGTGCTCTAAACTAAAAGTATGTTTTGCTATTTCAAATATTTAATTTTTTACAAAATATGATCTCAATTGATTATGGACTTGTGAATGAAGTTTGAAAAAATATTATGTTCCACTTTAAATGATTGGGTTGAAATACCTTTAGAATTTTTATTTTTTTTTGCATCTATTTCGTTCATATTTTTTTAAGAAAACAAAAGGACACTAATTTTACAATTTCACATAGCAATTTAGTCTTAAATCTTGGTATATTTTGTTGGACCTAAAATTTTATTGTATCAATTGATGAATTATTTTAGTTAGTATTTTGTCCTCTTTAAAAGAGAAACCTGGCTCCGCCCCGACTCCATGGTTGTAATATTGATGAAAAGATTATTTTCACAACTTAAACATCCGACTTACAAATCACAATAGAGCAATTTTACTCTCACCAAAGTCTACATTCTTACAATATATAATTGAAAATGATTAACTCACATTGGATGTGATCAAGACAAATATTTGATCCATGCTCAAGAATGAGTTGTAAACTCAAATATTTTGAGTTTGAAATTTGATAATTCTTTTGAGATTAGGTTATGTAGGGCCGGCCCAAGAATATTAAGATCTTAGGCAAAATTTTTAGATGGGGCCCTAAATTTTTTTTAAATACATAATTTATTTGTTCTTGTTTTAATATCTTTTAAAAGGTACATTTAAGGTGTAAAATAAACACATTGTGTAAATGTTTATATTAATATCAAAATTAACTAAAAAAATATAGTACAAGAAAATAAAACTGAATAAATAGATTAGAGTTTTTGAGAATTCAGATAAAATGAAAAAGTAAAGTCTTGTAATTTTTTGTACAAGAATGTGAAACTTTTTCCTTTTTTTTAAAATATATGTATATTTATAATTGAAATAAAAATATTAGTAAATTTTATTTTGATCGTTTCATATAATATTCTAAATTTTGTGTATTCTTTTTAAAATTTAGTCATGTAATTTTGTGAGACATACATGAATGAAATTCTAGNGTTATTTTAGTTAGTATTTTGTCCTCTTTAAAAGAGAAACCTGGCTCCGCCCCGACTCCATGGTTGTAATATTGGTGAAAAGATTATTTTCACAACTTAAACATCCGACTTACAAATCACAATAGAGCAATTTTACTCTCACCAAAGTCTACATTCTTACAATATATAATTGAAAATGATTAACTCACATTGGATGTGATCAAGACAAATATTTGATCCATGCTCAAGAATGAGTTGTAAACTCAAATATTTTGAGTTTGAAATTTGATAATTCTTTTGAGATTAGGTTATGTAGGGCCGGCCCAAGAATATTAAGATCTTAGGCAAAATTTTTAGATGGGGCCCTAAATTTTTTTTAAATACATAATTTATTTGTTCTTGTTTTAATATCTTTTAAAAGGTACATTTAAGGTGTAAAATAAACACATTGTGTAAATGTTTATATTAATATCAAAATTAACTAAAAAATTATAGTACAAGAAAATAAAACTGAATAAATAGATTAGAGTTTTTGAGAATTCAGATAAAATGAAAAAGTAAAGTCTTGTAATTTTTTGTACAAGAATGTGAAACTTTTTCCTTTTTTTTAAAATATATGTATATTTATAATTGAAATAAAAATATTAGTAAATTTTATTTTGATCGTTTCATATAATATTCTAAATTTTGTGTATTCTTTTTAAAATTTAGTCATGTAATTTTGTGAGACATACATGAATGAAATTCTAGGCAAGTGGGGGTTCTAGGTGACCACCTCACTTGCTTAGGGGTTAGAGTTGGTTATGAGGTCATTATAGATTCTTGAATTTCTTAGTTTCGATATAAATAATCTACTTTATTAAAAGTGTGAGATAACATTTGTTAAGGCGTGCATACGAAGATCAAAAGACTCGGTAGATAATCCCAGAAGAATAAAAAAAAAATCCACCGGTTTAATGTTTGAACAAACAATGGCTAGCCACTGAGCTAGCCCTGCACTGACGTGGCAACTTTGCCAACTCTCAACCGATAACAATCACCAGAAATATGCGCATTAGAGCATTTTCAAGATGGCTATTTAAAATAATTATTTAAAATATAATTAAATATTATATTATCTATTTTAATTAATCAATTTTTCAAACTCACTCCAATAACGCTATTTATTTTAACTAACCACTTTAACTAATTTTAATTAACTTTTAATAATAAAATCTAAAATACTATTTAGTATGTCATTTCATCATTATATTGATGACATCACATGCTGGCGTGTTACGCCACATTATCAAAATTTTAAAATTTTAATTTTTATTAATAACGGTCATATTTACGACGGTCACGAAATTCAAAATTTAAAAATTTGAGCTTTTTAACGATCATATTTACAATGATTATATTTGTAACAATCATATTTACAACAAAGAGACAGGGAGAGGCAAGAGTCACAGTAGCGGAGGAGAAGGAGGTGACGAGGGAGAGATTGGTGCCAACGAAAGATTTACTGGCTAGCTATATCTATCCAATGAAAATAAGATTATCTATTTTAGACGGTGGGATTACTAGTCTCTTGGAATAATTTTTTTGAGTGAAATTATTTAAAATAGCTAAGGGTTAGCCACCCTCTTGGAGATGCTCATGCACACCTGCGCGCACTTTAGTACCCAATTTCGAAGGTAATCCATTCCACGGGCATCCACAACCAGAGCGATGTCGTTTTGGAAACTCGTTTGGGGGAATGACCATGGTGCCCCTATATATCTCCCCTCATTCCTCTCTAACTCTCTCCGTCGATCGAAAGGCGAAACTTTGGTTGATAACATCAACATATCGTACTTCTCTCTCTGCTCAGATCTCACACAATGGCGAAAGACCCAGTTCGTGTTCTTGTTACCGGCGCTGCAGGTACTGTTCCTACAGTAGAAAACCGGACATTTTTTTCGATCTTTTTTATTTTTTGTCTCCTTCAGTTTTGATCTACTATGAAAACTGATATGCGAAAAAACTCACTTGATCACACAAGACTACGTGGTGGACTAATAGGTTCAGTATTTGGATTGTGAAACTGGGTTCTGTTGATAGATCATTTTGCTGATAGTTAATGGGATTCAGGTATAGTAGATCCAGTTGTGTTTAAGTTTGTGCTGTGTTTTGTGATTGAAAGTGTCATAGTCCAGGGTTTTAGTACAAGGGTAGGATGATCGAGCTAAACAATCCAAAATGAAGGAAAAAAAATTGTTCGAGCTATAATTTGTGGGATCAAAATTGAGGGCAGTCATTTTGTGCTAGAATGTGAACGATTAAAGTATGTTTGTGGTCCACTTCTCATAGCACTCTCCGTTACAAGGATTAAACTGGGTATTGAACAAGATTTGTATCTGCATAGTACTAAAGTTTTCTGTGCAAGCCATTTTGGAATGGAATATAAGAAAATGTTCATCAAGTTCACCATCCATCATTTAATTGGGTTCATAGAAAACCACAAGGTCACTGGGATTCAATGAATTTAACTGGGGGGGGGGGAGAGAGAGAGAGAGAGAGTATGAGAATTGGTAAAGTAGCAGTCATATAACTTGAAGTTTGTGGTGTAGAGGGAAGGCATGCTTATGACCAGCTAAAGATCACTGCCATCTCACTTATTTGATTTGAACACCAATCAAGCTACCATTTGAGCTATAGATTGTAATTCTGCAAGAGAGACATATTTTCAATAGAGAGGATGGAATATTAGCAACAATCGGTGGGTTTATCAAACTATTGGTTGTCTTTGAAAATAATGTGGAAAAATATCATGAGTGGATGTAGGAGATTTTTTGAGTTATCGCATCAGGTCCCCTTTCCTTTTTATGATTTCAAATCAAATTGGAGAAAATCTTTTATGCTTTTTATGATTTTGTTTGGCAAGGAGAGATAATACATTGGCATTCTCCCTTTCTTCACCTTTTACATTTCCTTTCCTTCATTAAAACTGCGAACCTAATGGAGCACTAGTGAAGAACAAGTTACATATGTCACTGTTTGGTTTGCATTCTTTCTCAGCATTTGGTTGTCTGTTGGATCAGAGTAAAGTAGAATATGATGAAGATTCGATAATTTGGTGCCCTGGGAAAAACCGTCAATTCTTATGTTCTATTTTGCATCTAAAGAAATCTAAGAATTCTCTCAGTGATGCCAAGTAATTGTTTTAGACCTGGTTTTGCATGGTGGGTTTTGTATATTTAGGTCTTAAAAAGTGCTAGTTTATGAACTGTTCTTTACTTCCTTGATTTTATTAGAAACCAAATGGAACAGCCACATGGTTGCAGAGGTTGGTTGGTGTACCAATTTTTTTTAAACTCTTTTTCGAGTGAACTTTTAGAACATAAGTGGGTTACTAATGAAAAACATTTTCATGTTGTATAATTGCTAAAAACTAATGCTCCTGGAGTAAATTAAGACGGTTTTGTGTTTGGTTGCTATACATTTTGGGTTTCTTAATTTAGACCGTATGTTGATAGAACCATGTTGAGTTCTCAGGACAAATTGGTTATGCTCTTGTCCCCATGATTGCTAGAGGAGTGATGTTGGGTGCTGATCAAGCCCTGATCCTCCACATGCTAGATATTCCACCTGCTGCAGAGGCATTGAATGGGGTCAAAATGGAATTGGTTGATGCTGCTTTCCCTCTCCTCAAAGGTTGGCATTGTCTTTTCTTATACATGAAATATATTTGCAAAGTGAACGGGTTTCCGATTTTTTATGTTATTTTACATTTGGAAAGAACAATCATAGTGGACTGAATGATCTAACATTTGTATCAGGTGTTGTTGCTACAACTGATGTTGTTGAGGCATGCACTGGCGTCAACATTGCAGTCATGGTTGGTGGTTTCCCCAGGAAAGAAGGCATGGAAAGAAAAGATGTGATGGCAAAGAATGTGTCCATTTACAAGGCCCAAGCTTCTGCTCTTGAGCAGCATGCTGCCCCAAACTGCAAGGTGGTTGCCATCTTTTTGGTAGAGTGAAAATTTTTAATTATTGGCATTTTGAATGTCCCAGGGAAAATGAATTGTTCCATTCTTTTTCCGCCTTGAAAAATTCATCTTTTAGTGTATAATCGGTGCAGAAAGTAGGTCTATAAAACTCCAATGGGATAACAAATAATTAGATTCACTTACAGAAAAAGAAGAAGCAAATAATTGGATTCTCTTTGCCTTCCAAAAAGCTTTGGTTTGTTTTTTTGTCTAATTGTAAGAAATTAATCTCTTACAAAAATAGAATATTCTTGCATGCATTCACAATCATTTAAAGAAACTATAATTGAAAAGATGACTTCAAATAGTAAGTAGAATAGAAGAGTAATATTTTAACCCCCCGTAATATAGCGAAGGGTTACATTTTGGTATCATAAGTCATTTTTCCCCTGTAATGGTAGAGCATCTATACAAAATTTATGTTGTATCTTTGTGTTTCACAATAAACTTGGGACACCGAGTTACTTGGGCTTGGCTTATGTGATAAACTAGACAAATTTGAGCATTTTTTTAAGCTCTTCAATTTTTTAATGTTGATAAGTTAGTTAGCATTCTACAAATATGTAAAAAGTCATGCTATTCAAGCTCATCTCAAAAAAAGTTCCAAAAGTTCATTCAAGATTGGCTCATAAGATAAGCAAGCCAAACTTAAGCTTTTTACAGCTTGTTTAAATTTCAAATCAAGCTTGACCAATCTACTGCTTGGCTCGCCTCATTTACTTCCCTGAACATATTGTCAGGATGTGATGCAATTCTGCCAATGTGCTCCAACCACTCATTGAAGACTGTGGGAACTGTGTTACTATGAGTAGATTTTAGTATTATATTGTTGGCTGATTTATTTTTATGGGACATCTAATGTGTTTATGGCTCTATATTTGTGCACCCTTGGGCAACTTCTAATCACTTTTGCTTTGTGTTTCTTCCAGGTTCTGGTTGTTGCTAACCCTGCCAACACCAATGCTCTGATCCTGAAGGAGTTTGCACCATCTATCCCAGCAAAAAACATTACTTGTCTGACAAGGTTGGACCATAACAGGGCTCTTGGTCAAATCTCAGAGAGACTGAATGTTCAAGTATTTGATGTTAAAAATGCCATTATTTGGGGAAATCACTCCTCTACTCAGTATCCTGATGTAAACCATGCAACTGTCTTAACACCAGCTGGAGAAAAACCTGTCCGTGAGCTTGTTACTGATGATGAATGGTATGATGAAAGAATAAACATTCTTTTCAAAATTATTGAAGATTCCATCGTTCTTATGGAAGTTATCATTCTTTTGTTGTTAGGTTGAATGGGGGATTCATAACTACTGTCCAACAGCGTGGTGCTGCGATTATCAAAGCCAGAAAGCTTTCTAGTGCACTATCTGCTGCTAGTTCTGCCTGCGATCATATACGCGATTGGGTACTTGGAACTCCTGAGGTGGGCCTTGTTTTGTTTATAGTCTTCATGTTATATGTAGTTAAATAGATCGTAAATTTACCCTTTTTTGATGAAGTACGCAGATAAATTGGTTGAAATATGCTGATCTTTATCTTCTTTTGACTGTACATTCTAGGGCACTTGGGTTTCTATGGGTGTATACTCTGATGGTTCATACAATGTGCCAGCTGGGCTTATATACTCCTTCCCGGTTGTTTGTAGTGGTGGAGAATGGTCAATTGTTCAAGGTAAAGCCGAGCATCCTCGCACAAGATTTTAACTAGACATTTGCTAGGGTAAATTACAGTAAAACCCCCAGCAATTGGATTCATCCTCATGGCACCCGCTGATATTTCATAAATGACAACAAGACCCCAGTTGGAAAATTTTGTTAGGAAATGTTTTTTCACTCTTGGTCAAAATTGGTGAAAAGGGTCAATCAAAATAAAATTTAAAAAAGAATGAAACTCAAACCCGTGCCCCCCTTGACGTCTTCTCCCTCCCCTTCAAATCCTCCCTCCAACAGCAAGGGGATTGGGGGAGGGTGGTTGGGAGATCGAATGTTGGAGAAGAGGATAGAGAAAAGACAAATTAAGATGAGGTTTCAGTGTTGGATTCTGTTTTATCAGCACTGTTGGTTCGTTCTTCAGATTTTTCTGATTGCTTCCTGTTTGTGGTTTTCTATACTAGGGAAAAATCATATCATTCCAGTTCTCTCTCTTTCTCTATGTACATATATGTCATATACATATGACTATATGTATATGTACTGAACAGTTCAATTGGGTCATTGAATTGGGCATCTGGGCCGGGTGCGGTGGGTGGCAGTGGTTGCAATGTGGTGGTGGATGGCAGTGTTACTGGTGATTCTTGTAGTGTGATTGTGGCAGTGTGCATGTGTCTGTGATGGTGTTAGTGAGTGGAAGAGGAGTGGTGGTGGTTGTTGGTGAGAGAGGGAGAGAGGGAGAGAGAGAGAGAGAGAGAGACACACACACACACACACACAAAGAGGAAAATGGGGGAAGAAAAAGAAGGGGGATGTTTGGAAATGGGTCTATTTTGTCTTGTTCCAACAAAGATTACGGTCGAGTGTATAATTAAATATACTTCAATGAAAAACTAATAGTCCGTTTGATAGGGTGGATAGTGAATAGGAGTGATACACTTTTCATTTTTCAAGGGAGTAATTTTTCCTTCCCTCATTTGTGTTTGGTAAGAGGGATGGAAAGTAGAAATGATTGATTTTTTATTTTTATTTTTATGCTTGATAAGATGGTAAAAAATAATTTTTTATTTTTTAATTATAATTATAATTTTTTTTAGAAAAAATATAAATACATATTTTAGTACTACATCTATATATGAAATTAATGTATACATAATACGTAATTGATAAATTTAATATTTGTATATATCAAATGATATATAGACAAATAACACACATTTGAACACACAATTAACTTTCTGTCAACTTTTTCTCCCAATTTTGGAGAGATTAATTTTGGTGAGTTAGAAGGAAAGTTAATCCATCCATTTTTCCATCATTCTTATTTGTCTTCCTTATCAAGCATAATATTTTATTTATCCTTTCAACTTTATATTCTTTCAAATTTCCATCTTTCAATTTTTCCATTGTACCAAATGAAGCATAAGAGAAATTGTGGTGTTCTTCAACGAGTTCTAATGATATCATTTTTTTTGTGTTGAAAGTGGTCGTGGTACAATTGTTGGATGTCTCAGGGTTGTCTTTTCAATAGTGAAATCTCAAGGGGTGGCTAGAGGACAAATCCAAATGTCAAGGGGTGGCTAGAGAACAAATCCAAATGTCAAGGGGTTGTAATTGTAAAATGCCCTTTTTAATATAGCATCTTTGTTTGAGGGCTGGGCTGGATGTTTTTTCTTTGGTTGACAGCTTCATTTTGTTCTTCCACTCCCAATTGGCTTCATTACCAAGTGTCGGGTGTCTGTTACAGAACTTGCAATGTAATTTTTCTGCTGAAAAATTAATTTGTAGATTGGATTCATAAACATCTTTTTGAAGTTTTGGATCCACAACAATTTTTCCAGTAAATAAGTTATTTTTTGGGTAGTACCTTATTTTTATGTTTTCCTTCCTTGTTCAGGACTGTCAATTGATGAGTTCTCAAGGAAGAAGTTGGACTTGACCGCAACAGAACTTTCTGAGGAGAAGGCCTTGGCATACTCATGTCTATCTTGAATTCCATTTCCTTAATATTCCGGGAGTAAGTTGGTCTTATGCTTTCTGTATGAAATGGAATAGCTACAGTTTTGACTAATGACATTGTTAAAATCATTGAGGAGTCGGTGATTGTGGAGAAGCTTCGTCCACCTTATGTTCTACCAGGATATTTGGAACATTAACACTTACAATTGATAGGTTCTATGTATTGGGCATTTGAATGAGATTTTACAAGGACAATTCTGGGCTACGAATGATGACGGAATTGCTTGACAAGCTTGTGTCTCTGATTTGGCAAGAATGAATGTTCCAAAGTTTTGTGCTTGGTGATGCCATACAAATGTTGCCTTTTTTAATCATCTTGTTTGAGGGGCTGAGTTCCCCTCTGGTATATTCTCTCTTCATTTCCCATCTTTGTAGCTCATCTATCATGCATTTATTTGGGACTCACTGGTTAATTGGAGATGATCTGCCAAGAATGAAATTGAAGAGAAAATCTTATACTAATTGCAGTTAGGAGATTATTTGTGCAAACGAGAGCAGCTCTTTTCACCACACACACACACACACACGGGCTCTCACAGAAGTACTCTTGACTGCACTTGAGGCCGTTGAGGGTGCTCTATGGGATACGGTTGGTCTTGTAGACCTGTCCTAAGACCAACCTGTTATTCAATTCTCCTGAACTGAGTTATTGTGTCATGTAATACACAGCTTAGGGTATTCTTTTGGATGCGTAAGCACTCGTCAACAATCATTGCAGATCAAACGTTTATTATCATGTGTTATCGGATCATTATACCTAATGTTGGTTACTCTCATGTTACATAACCTTATATCGTTGTCTATACGAGTGATCTATGAATCTGGCTCAGACCATTGTTTGGCCTCCAAAACAACCAACGTTACGAGCTGGTCTATTGTTCTTTCAGATGCATATGTATTGCTAGATGTTCAATCGCATATCTGTTACCATGTTATTAGTGTTTTTTTTTTTTTTTTTCATAAAGGTGTACCAGGAAGTAAAAAGATGTTTTATATAGGTACCAATCTGTGTTGATTATGGATGTGGCTTAAGTTACTGCCTGGCATTTTTAATTGGAACAACCTGCTGTGCCCAGGGAGAGGAAAACATTGATTGTTTGCCTGTCTTGTTTCTCCCCGGTTTGATCCCCAAGGAGGTAGATAATCAGAGAACAGAATGTTATGGTACAATGGTAATGCCAAGGTTTTAGGTTTAATTTTTTTTTTATATTTCTTAAGAGTTAGTCACCCTTGCTTTTTAGGGACGTGTTTTAACTTGATTCAAGTTACGATAATCAGCCGTTGAATTCGAGGGAGTAGTCGGTACAAACTTGGATATAACAAAAAAAAAAAACAAGAAAAGATTTTATGCTTTGCTCGCTTTTGCGAATGCAAAAAGGAAAGTTATGTTTATGTGTGTGTTTGTTTCGTTTGGTCTTTTGCTTGCCTTTATGGTCCGTTAGGATGAATAAAAAAATTGGTAGGATTAAATGGAAAAGATGAAGGAAATAAAGTAAGAAGGATTCAATTTTTATCTATAGGGGAGAAAAACTTTACTTCCCTTCTTTTTGCTTTTTCTATTTGGTTCAACGATCAGGAGTGTTTGGACCAGTTTATATGTACCTGGACTAATTTTCTTCCTAATTCAGTTAAAGATAGATTATTTACGATAGGACTAGGGTATTCATGAGGAGTAAATTTGTCATGATTTGACTTCAAGAAATTGTCAAATTTCAAATTTATGACGTTTAAATTTTGAATTCATGATTTGATTAATCCCTTTCCTAATTCAGTTAAAAATAGANTCTTCCTAATTCAGTTAAAGATAGATTATTTACGATAGGACTAGGGTATTTATGAGGAGTAAATTTGTCATGATTTGACTTCAAGAAATTGTCAAATTTCAAATTTATGACGTTTAAATTTTGAATTCATGATTTGATTAATCCCTTTCCTAATTCAGTTAAAAATAGATCTTCTACGTTAAGACTAAGGTATTTATGAGGAATAAATTCGTCATGATTTGATTTCAAAAAATTGTCAAATTTCGAACTCATGACGTTCAAATTTCTCTATTACCACTTGAGTTACCACTTAGGATTTTTGCTTCTCTTCTTCGTGTTTAGTGAGAAATTGGGAAGTAAAAGAGAGAGAAAAATATTGTGTTTGGTNTGTTAAGATTAAGGTATTTATGAGGAATAAATTCGTCATGATTTGATTTCAAAAAATTGTCAAATTTCGAACTCATGACGACGTTCAAATTTCTCTATTACCACTTGAGTTATCACTTAGGATTTTTGCTTCTCTTCTTCGTGTTTAGTGAGAAATTGGGAAGTAAAAGAGAGAGAAAAATATTGTGTTTGGTATAAATGAAATAGTGAAAAGAAAATAAAAGTGTACATGTAAATTAACTTATCTATCATATTTGATAGAATATCCAAGAATATATTCTACCTTCAACTTTATTATGTTTCTTCTCTCTTACCTCTGCCTGTTTTTCTTAAACTTTATCATGAACAGCTTTATAGTTGGGGTGAGTGTTCCTCTTTCTCTTTACCGCCTTCTTATTTTATTATTTTTTCAGTATATATTTTCAAGTAATACACACACATACTTGAAAATAATAGAAATATAAAGCGACAAAATGACAACGAAATGAGTTTATCATTGAGAAATTTTAGCGATCAAAATTTATACCTGATGATGCCTAAAGTAAAATCCCAAGTTTTAGCTCAGGAGTTCAGCTCCGACTGGGAGGTCAATCATACTAACTGAAGTCAAAAGGCAAAGGGTTGAATGTCATTTAAGGCAAGACAACGGCTGGATAACCACAAGAGATTTCTGAAGCGTTAGGAAGTTATAATTAAGGTATCAAATCTCAACCAACCAAGATCTTCTCCTAGAAGGAGAACTCCGCGAAATAAAGGCAAAAATCTCGGCCAAGATCCCACTGAATAGGGAACAGCCCTATAAATACTATGTAACGCCCCTAAAGAAGGGGAGAGGTCCCTAGNGCAACGAAATGAGTTTATCATTGAGAAATTTTAGCGATCAAATTTTATACCTAATGATGCCTAAAGTAAAATCCCAAGTTTTAGCTCAGGAGTTCAGCTCCGACTGGGAGATCAATCATACTAACTGAGGTCAAAAGGCAAAGGGTTGAATGTCATTTAAGGCAAGACAACGGCTGGATAACCACAAGAGATTTCTGAAGCGTTAGGAAGCTATAATCAAGATATCAAATCTCAACCAACCAAGATATTCTCCTAGAAGGAGAACTCCACGAAATAAAGGCAAAAATCTCGGCCAAGATCCCACTGAATAGGGAACAGCCCTATAAATACTATGTAACGCCCCCAAAGAAGGGGAGAGGTCCCTAGAGGCAAAGACTAGTCATTGTATTCTTATACTGATTATTGAAAGGTAAGGAGCAAGAGTCTCCATTAATGAGTGAACTAGCCGAGCCCTCGAACTGGTGAACCACTATACTTCTTTTGTGTGAATTTTGCCAGCCCCTAGAGAAGTATTTATCACACTACCATTATTACAAAACATAATTACGATTCATCATTCATACGATTTGGTTTACGCCTTCAATACCAAACACAAAATTTCCATAAAGATCAACTTAAAAAAGCCCAAGACAAAGACCAAGAAAATTCAAGGAGGACTTAACAACAAATGGGGTCTTAATTAAAGGCCACATCCAATGACCAAGAATATTCATTGAGACTTTAACATTAAATTGGATNCTAGCCATTGTATTCTTATACTGATTATTGAAAGGTAAGGAGCAAGAGTCTCCATTAATGAGTGAACTAGCCGAGCTCTCGAACTGGTGAACCACTATACTTCTTCTGTGTGAATTTTCCCAGCCCCTAGAGAAGTATTTATCACACTACCATTATTACAAAATATAATTACGATTCATCATTCATACGATTTGGTTTACGCCTTCAATACCAAACACAAAATTTCCATAAAGATCAACTTAAAAAAGCCCAAGACAAAGACCAAGAAAATTCAAGGAGGACTTGACAACAAATGGGGTCTTAATTAAAGGCCACATCCAATGACCAAGAATATTCATTGAGACTTTAACATTAAATTGGATTTTAAGGACCACATCCAGTGAATTTTCACTCACTTTCTTTTGAATGACTATTAGTGAGATATGGGTTCACAGAGTCATGAGACAGTGAAAGAACACAGGGGGCCATAGAAAATTTTCACCAAAATAAAGTGTGGCTGCTTTAGCATATACTTGGTTTCATCATGACCATATTCATAATAGGAAACTACCTCATGGCTTGTTTGTACTGCCAATGAGAAAATTCCTTATTCTCCACTACAAGATTGAAAATTTGTATAATGTGGATTTTGGCATACCGGTAAAGTTGCTTCATTTTTAATTGAACGTAATGANGACAACAAATGGGGTCTTAATTAAAGGCCACATCCAATGACCAAGAACATTCATTGAGACTTTAACATTAAATTGGATTTTAAGGACCACATCCAGTGAATTTTCACTCACTTTCTTTTGAATGACTATTAGTGAGATATGGGTTCACAGAGTCATGAGACAGTGAAAGAGCACAGGGGGCCATAGAAAATTTTCACCAAAATAAAGTGTGGCTGCTTTAGCATATACGTGATTTCATCATGACCATATTCATAATAGGAAACTACCTCATGGCTTGTTTGTACTGCCAATGAGAAAATTCCTTATTCTCCACTACAAGATTGAAAATTTGTATAATGTGGATTTTGGCATACCGGTAAAGTTGCTTCATTTTTAATTGAACGTAATGAGTTTGAGTCATAAAAACAATCTCTCATGAGTTTAAATTCAAATCATGACAATCCCTTAGGGCTAGATCACGAGGGATGTATGTTTCATGAATACCTTAGTCGCGGCGTGGATAACCTGCCTTTGACCGNTGGTAAAGTTGCTTCATTTTTAATTGAACGTAATGAGTTTGAGTCATAAAACAATCTCTCATGAGTTTAAATTCAAATCATGACAATCCCTTAGGGCTAGATCACGAGGGATGTATGTTTCATGAATACCTTAGTCGCGGCGTGGATAACCTGCCTTTGACCGGACCAAGGAAGGGATTAGTCTAGGTGCGCGTAAACTGATCTAAAAAAAATAAAGAAAAAAAGAAAGAAAAAAGGTAATCTCTCTGTACACGGAATAAGGTTGTATACATGTCACAAATTCTAGACCTTAAAATGATCCGAGACTCGTGCACTGAGTTATCTTTTTTTGTAGAAAACTTTGATTGTTCTACTGCTTTAGCCTTGNTGATTAGTCTAGGTGCGCGTAAACTGATCTAAAAAAATAAAGAAAAAAAGAAAGAAAAAAGGTAATCTCTCTGTACACAGAATAAGGTTGTATACATGTCACAAATTCTAGACCTTAAAATGATCCGAGACTCATGCAC